TTTTTAGAGCTCACTTTATGCACAGGTGTAAAATCATGCTGGAAAAGAAAAGAGCCTTCTTCAAACTGTTATCACAAGGTTGGAAGGGCACAATATACAGTTGTGTTCAAAATAATAGCAGTGTGTTGAAAAAAGTGAATAAAGCTCAAAATCCTAATAGCTTTTATTTCCATACACACAAATGCATTGGGAACACTACACATTCTATTCCAAATCAAAACATGAAGAAAAATATATCACATTTGTGTTGTTCCTCTAAAAAAAATTGAAGAAAAGTGAATATTAGACTGTTCAAAAAAATAGCAGTGTTTGTATTCTTTACAAACTCAAACATTCACTATATAAACTGAAAAATGTTTGAAGATTTTGCTTTCCTTTGAATCACTTAATTAATATTTAGTTGTATAAGCACTGTTTCTGAGAACTGCTGTACATCTGTGTTGCATGGAGTCAACCAACTTCTGGCACCTGTGAACAGGTATTCCAGCCCAGGATGATTGGACTACATTCCACAGTCCTTCTCTATTTCTTGGTTTTGCCTCAGAAACTGCATTTTTGATGTTTTCTATTGGATTAAGATCCGGGGATTGGGCTGGCCACTCCATAACGTCAATCTTGTTGGTCTGGAACCAAAATGTTGCACGTTTACTGGTGTGTTTGGGGTCGTTGTCTTGTTGGAACACCCATTTCAAGGGCATTTCCCTTCAGCATAAGGCAGCATGACCCCTTCAAGTATTCTGATGTATTCAAACTGATCCATGATCCCTGGTATGCGATAAATAGGCCCAACACCGTAGTATGAGAAACATCCGCATATCATGATGCTTGCGCAACCATGCTTCACTGTCTTCACAGTGTACTGTGGCTTGAATTCAGTGTTTGGGGGTCGTCTGACAAACTGTCTCCGGCCACTAGACCCAAAAAGAACAATCTTACTTTCATCAGTCCACAAAATGTTGCGTCATTTCTCTTTAGGCCAGTCAATGTGCTCTTTGGCAAACTGTAACCTCTTCAGCACATGTCTTTTCTTCAACAGTGGGACTTTGCGGGGACTTCTTGCAGATAGCTTGGCTTCACATAGGCGTCTTCTAATTGTAACAGTACTCACAGGTAACTTTAGGCCTTCTTTGATCTTCCTGGAGCTGATTGTTGGCTGAGTCCTTGCCATTTTGGCTATTCTTCTATCCATTTGAATGGTGGTTTTTTGCTTTCTTCCACGTCTTTCAGGTTTTGGTTGCCATATTAAAGCATTTGCAATCATTTTAGCTGAGCAGCCTATCATTTTCTGCACTTCTTTATATGTTTTCCCCCTCTCCAATCAACTTTTTAATCAAGGTATGCTGTTCTTTTGAACAATGTCTGGAATGACCCATTTTCCTCAGAATTTCAGAGAGAAATGCACTGTAACCAGCATGTACAACATTTGCTGCCTTCCTTCCTTAAATAAGGGCAATAATTGCCACCTGTTTTTCAAAGACTGAATGACCTCATTAATAGAACTCCACACTGCTATTATTGTGAACATGCCCCTTTCAATTAGCGATTCAGTTACACAGAATCAGCAGCATGCATGTCCTGACTGTTGGGTCTGTTGGATTTCTATTACTCTACTACACCTGCTAGTAAATTATTTGCCATGTAGAAATATCATTTCTACCAAAAACAGTGACTGATCAGGTTAGTGATGTCTGACTGCTATTATTTTGAACACAACTGTATGTATACTATATCCATACCAGAACCCATTACTGGAAATACCTGAACTCGATAACTTAGTGGGGTTGTCACATACTTTTGCCCATATAGTTAGGTGTCATTGATGGTCAGGTTTCCACAAACATTTGGCCATATATTTTCTATATATAGCTGATATATAGGCTGCTACTGCCCCCCTATAGCAGAAATTACTTCTGAAAGGTGTTTTGAATAACTACCCACCAATCTCTGACATGAACTCGGTGAAATGCTTGACTACTTCTTCATGTAAAATTCCTTCGTTCACATGATGTTTGTGGATTCCTTATATAAACTGTCCATTTCAATGCACAAGGTTCAAATTGGGGCTTAAAACAAGTTAGTCTACAACTATCCATTCTTTCATTTGAGCCTTTCTTTTGTATGTTTCCTAGTGTGCTTCAAATCATTATCCCACTGAGATCTGCTTCAAATTCAACTTTCAGACAGATGGCATCAGTTTCTCATCAAATACACTTTGATATGATACAGAATTAATATTTGACTCTATGACTGTAAGTTGCCGATGCATAAAAGCCACAAAGCAACCACAGACAAACATTTCCACCACTATGCTTCACAGTTGGTATGTGGTTCTTCTCCTGAAATGCGGTCTTCAGTTTACACCCAACACATCCACTGTTACTTTGGTCAATCAACTTTATCATTGGTCTGTCAGTCCACAGCCTTCCAAAAGGCAAGGTCTTTGCCTATATGTTCATTGCCAAACTGTAGTCTGGCTATAATGTTCTTGGACAGCAAAGGTTGGTACAATTGTTGCAATCTCTTTCTGATTGTAGATGGATGCACTTTGACACAAACTATTGTAAGAGTTGCCTGAGAATCTTGGGCTGAATTTGCTGGGCTATCCCATCCGGGGCAAATTAGCAGTCCTTTCAAATCTATGCCACTTGTAGATTATTTTCCTCCCAGTGAAATACTTGAAAATACTTTCAAATCATTTCATAATCTTTTTAAACTCTATGCCAGCTTCAAGGACGTCCATAATCTTCTTTCTGAGGGCCCTAAAGAGCTCTTTCATCTTGAAATGATGACAAAAAGAGCACCAGTGCCTTATTTATTGTTTCCACCTACATAGGAGGTTTTAGCACCTAATCTGAAGCACATTCTTCTAATTTCATGGATTTGAAGTGGAGGTAAATACTTTTTTCTACATGACAAATCTGCATTTTTGTTAATTTAGATAACACGTGTAGCAGTACCCCTGTAGGTGCCAGCAGTTTGATAGGTCCCTAGGTATTTTCCCTAAGTTTGCCCCATAACCAGGCACACGAACACAGTCACTCTTTGGCTGAGTAAAGAGCCCAGGGGTGTTTTTTGTTTTTTTTTTTTTAGTGTTTTTATTCTTTTGGAATAACTTGGATGAGGATGAGTGGGATGCTCCAATAGGTACTATGTACAAGATGAGAACACTAACTTTCTTCTGCAGCACTTTAAGCACAGTCCTTGTAGGGGTCAGTAATGGACTTGGCTTAGTTGAAGCAGATGATGGAACAAACTTTCTTCTTTAAGCAACTTGAGCAGAGTCCCTTTGACACAAAGCAAGCTGGACTAAGCTCTTCAGGATCCCTGCCGGTATCCCCTTTGCACACAGCTGACATTTTAGCACCAGAGGGATGGCAGTAGCCCACAGGATCTCTCACACCAGACTGTACTCAAAAATGTCCTCAGACGAATGGATGCCTCCTTTCAAAGTCTTCCAGACACCTCTACTAATAACCTAAGACACAGGTGTCAAACTAGCGGCCCTCCAGCTGTTGCCAAACTACAAGCCCCATGAGGCACTGCAAGATTGACAGTTACAAGCATGACTCCCAAAAGCAGAGGCATGACGGGACTTGTAGTTTCACAGCAGCTGGGGGGCTGCCAGTTTGACACCACTGACCTATGACTATATCCTCAAATGACAACCTCAATTCAGCCTTAGGTAGCCCAGCTGAGGCCTCACAACCAGCAAGCACGTGGCAGAACTGCCTGGAGGGTAGCAGGCCCTCCAGGCTGGACCGCCTCTCTCCAGGACAAGACAAGAATGTCACAGGTCTCAGTCTAGTTATACCCATTTCCCAGCAGCCACCTGTGCAGTGCCCCACAATAATTGGCTGGGACAGTATAAATATCCATACTGCCTATTTACATTACTCCACACCTATGTTCCAAAACTGTCCACAAGGATCTGAAAATACATAGTGAGAGCAACCAAATCTGCACCTGTAAGACAGAGTAAACTCTAAACAATCACATACATATTCACTGACTACAGTGAGCTAGAGCTAAATTTGCCTAACTCAGAATTGCAGCCACACTGATTACAGTGAGTCAAACTAAATTTGCCTAACAACAAAAATTCAGCTCCACTGGATACAGTGAGCCAGAACTAAATTTATCTACTCCTAGCACCTATCTAGGAGGGTGCTACATACAAATGAATAAAGCATGTCAAATTTGTGTGTCGTATGTGCATCAACTTTATCTGTAGACACTGAATAAAGCTCTAATGTCTGCCTCTTCAAATGCTATATGCTGAAAAATTCAACAGTTTCCATGGATTATACTTCTTTTTTTCACATGACTGTGTATATATATATATATATATGACAGTATATAGCCCAGGAACCAACTCTGCTACTTTTATTCATGTTGCTTACACCGGTTCATTCAGGTGACCTCAACAAACACAAGCCAACTGGAATTATGCAGAGTTGGGAATTGTTATGTATAGATATATTCTTTCATGGCAAACATCTGCTCAGAATCTAAAATCATGCGGTATTTATATTATCTAAAATAATAAAGATTTCTTTGTCTTCAGTTGAGGTAAATGTAGAACTCTTAAGCATTGCGCCAGAGTAAATATGTCTAGAGCAATATCACATAGTATAATAAACCTTTCAGATAATATCAATTACACATATATCCTATTACCTTGAGAAGTATGCATTTCACCCAGATATTGTTAGATAAGATGTGCATATTAAAGCAAACACACTACATAAATAAGATGGATTTCTAACCCATCTGTGTTTATAGGTTCTCAAATGTATATTTAATATGGTTTGCCACATCATGTTATTGCATTTCCTCTTCCATGGATTACCTAGTACAGAATATATAATATGTTTGAGTAATACGCCATCTAGTGGAAGCAAAGCCACCTAACAAAGTCACTAACCAGAAATTCAATACCACCAGAATCAATTTGCAAAGTAATGCAGGCCATAGACGGGTCGAAAACCGGCCGTTTTTTTTTTTTAAAAAAAAGAAAAATCGGTCGTTCAATAGGCCGATGTTACCACCAACAGTAAAAAAATTGGCCGATTTTCGTCCCGTCTACGGCAGGTATTTAATTCTGTTCCTTGCAGAGAGCTCCGCTATTATATTTGACATGAAAAAGTATTGCGGTTGCAACAATGTATCTGTTTGTATCCATTTTGAATACAGATGTTTTTATTTGGATACAAATAGATACATTGTTGCAACCGCAATACTTTTTCATGTCAAATATAGTAGCAGACTGGAATTCTTCTTTTTCTTCTTCTTTTTCTTCTTCTTGCAGGCTACGGCTCATGCGCAGATTTTTTATCGGTAAAAAGATCGGCTGATTTGCTCATCATTGCCGGGAAAATCGGCCAATCGGAAAAATGGGCAGATTTTTTTCCAACTTCACCGATAAAAAAAATGTGCCAAAACCCCAAAAAAAAAACGGCTGACCAATAAACCCATTAACAGTGCAAAAATCAGCCGATTTTTTTTCCGGACGAAACAGCTGATTTTCGACCCGTCTATGGCCTGCATAACTCATAACATCCAATGATAATTAATCTTTGATTGATATGATACCCCTAATCTGCAACAGAAAATAAAAGCCTGTTTCTGAGTGTCCCACACTCCAACTCGCTATGAAGTTGCACCAGTTGGTGACCTTTCTTTCAACTACCAAAGACCTCACTTGTGAGAAATCGACTGGTAACCTTCAGTGCATGTACTGCTGCTGTTCAAAGAGACCCTGTCACCACAATAGACTTTTTATGCTGAGTATAGCATGGAAAAATATTGGAATACTACATGCCATCCTTGATGTTACTTTGCTAAAAATGGCGTGCATAGTACTGTAGTAGCAATTTTGGGAATTCCAGGTAAAACTCCGGACACCAACTTGAGGAAAACATGCTGTTTATTTTACCAGTGCTGGGACCCAGCAAGGACTTGTGCCTACAAGCTAGGTAGGTTCAAAAACATCTTACATGGTATACAGTATATACCAACAATTACGTTACAATGCATATATTTTCTCTTTGTCCTCATTAAGATATGTGCTAAACAGTACAACATATAACATTTAGCATTTTGCGGTTAAACAGTTTCATTTTACTAACTGGCGATATTTCCACAGGATGTGTGGGGGAGGGAGTGAGCTAAAAGTTAGTTCTTTACTTTTGCAAACTAGAAATGTTAAGGCCTAAAGGGGAACTCTGCAATATTTGGGTGCTGCCACAGTACAATGCCAGCTGAACGTGGCAGAATAAAAAGAAAGGAAAAAAGGGAAGGGGGTCTGTATAAAGAGAAGGTATGCTGGAAGAACAAAATTGATTCCAGTGGCTCTACTGTAGTTCTGATAATAAACACTATTTTAGGTAACAGCATAGGCATGTGCAGGGGGTGTGCCTGGGCACACCCTAATCACTCCATGTGCCAGTGACCTATCATTCATATGTGCAAGGTGTGCAGGGCCTACTGTGCCCTGACACACACTGCCTACATGGAGTAAATAAAAATAAGTCAAAAACAGTTTCCTGGGCTCTGGACCCATGTGGCATAACCTGCATCCACTGAATTGTTTTTTTTTTTTCATTTTCAGGGTGCAGGCAGCGGATGGGCCGCATTTGCCAATACTATGATTGTAGTCCTGGCTGCCACCCTCTGCAGCCACTGGCATCCCTGGCTAATGGAGTGATATGTCCTCAGTAAATCCTGAGGGCGGGGCTGTGCTGAGAGCAGCTCCCACTGTAAATGCAATTTGGCCACACCCACTTTTCGCTGCAGCTTTGGGCTTTGAGGTTTGGGATGCACAACCTAATGCAATAGGCTGTGCACACCTATGGGTAACAGCAAATGAGGGCAGCACAGTGAGTTAGTGGTTAGCACTTATGCACTGAACACTGGGATTCTTGGTTTGAATATTGGCCAGGACAACTCTGCATGGAGTTTGCAGGTTGTCCCTGTCCCTTATCAATTTCCTCCCACATTTCAAACACATGCTGGAGGGTTAATTAGTTCCTGTCCAAATTGGCCCTAGTATGTGTGTACAAGCACGTGTGTGATCACATTCTGCATGTCAGTCCCAAGCTCATGTTAATGGAAAGGGTTGAGTAACAACCTGGCAGCCCTTCCTCATCAAAAATCATATTGAAAAGAGCATCAAATGTATCAGACATGATGACACACTGGGGGTTATTTACTAAAACTGAAGTGTGCAAAATCTGGTGCCACTCTGCATAGAAACCAATCAGCTTCCAGGTTTTTTTTTGCCAAAGCTTAATTGAACAAGCGGACGTTAGAAGCTGATTGGCTACCACGAACAGCTACACCAGATTCTGAGTGCACCAATTTTAGTAAATCTACTCCATTGTGACTTCTTTTTATTGTTCAATGATACATGGCTTGTACTATGTGGCTTAGAGATATTTTTCAGTCTTACTCAATGTTCCCTATTAGTATATACTGTACCTTTCATCAGTGGAGAAGCCTAAGATATATGAATAATTATTGGTGATTGCCTGATAAGGGTTAACTCCCCGGACAGGGCTGTCTTAATGAGCGGGCACACCTGGGCAATGACCAGGGGCTCCAGGTGCAGGAGGGCAACCATGATCAGGGGTGATCGGGCGCTATGTTAGGGGGGTGCCCCTCTTTTTGACAGGAGTAACTGCGATGTCACACCTGTCAGAAGAAGCAGCGGCTGGCTAATGCTTGAGAGAGCATTCAGCTTTCTCCTCCTTCCTGCAGGGGGTGGAAAAGAGTCAGAGCTGAGACTGAGAACTCACCTCAGTCTCAGCAGGGAGAGGAAGGAAGAGCTGAGTTCATGGAAAGTGGGAACACCTTTGTAATCTGTTAGTACAAGAGGGAAGGGGGGAGGCACACTCTGATGTATTTGGGCACTGTAATGGTGACACGTGATGTCTGGGGATACTGTGAAGGGAACACCTGATGTATGGGAATACTGTGATGAGATACCTGATATATGGGAATACTGTGATGGGGAACCCTGATGTATGGGAATACTGTGATGGGGACACTGTGATGGGAATACTGTGATGGGGAACCCTGATGTCTGGGGACACTGTGATGGGGACACTGTAATGGATAGACGTGATGTATGGGGACATTGAAATGGGAACACCTGATTTATGGGAATACTGTGATGGGGAACCCTGATGTCTGGGGACACTGTGATGGGGACACTGTGATGGGGAACCCTGATGTCTGGGAACACTGTAATGGATACACCTGATGTATGGGGACATTGTAATGGGGACACCTGATGTATGGGGATACTGTGATGGGGACAACTGATGTATGGGGAAACTGTGATGGGGGACTGCTGATGTATAGAGAGACTGTGATAAGGACTCCTGATGTATGGGGACACTGTGATGAGGAAACCTGATGTATGGGAACACTGTGATGGTGACACCTGATGTATGGGGCTACTGTGAAGGGGACACTGTGATAGGGGACACCTAGGGTATGGGGACACTGTTATGAGGACATCTGATGCATGGGGACACTATGATGGGGGACACTGTAATGGGGACACCTGATGTATGGGGACACTGTGATGGGGGACACTGTAAAGGATACACCTGATGTATGGGGATACTGTGATTGGGGCACCTGATGTATGGGGACACTGTGATGAGAAAACCTGAAATATGGGGACACCTGATGTATGGGGATACTGTGATGGTGACACCTGATGTATGGGGATACTGTGATTGGGGCACCTGATGTATGGGGACACTGTGATGAGAAAACCTGATGTATGGGGACACTGTGATGGTGACACCTGATGTATGGGGATACTGTTAAGGGGACACTGTGATAGGGGACACCTAGTGTATGGGGACACTGTTATGGGGACATCTGATGCATGGGGACACTATAATCGGGAACACTGTAATGGTGACACCTGATGTACAGGGACACTGTGATGGGGAACACCTGATCGATGGGGATACCTGATGGGTGGGGACACTGCAAAGGGGACACCTGACGGATGGGGATACCTGATGTGTGGGGACACTGCGATGGTGACACCTGATGTGTGGGGATACTGTGATGGGGAACCTGATGTGTATGGACACTGTAGTGGGGACACTGTGATGGGGACACCTGATGTATGGGGGTACTGTGATAGGGACCTGATGCAGACTGGTAGGGGCCACAGTGCATTACTTTGCCCAGGGGCCCATGATGGTATTAGGATGGCCCTGGACACATTTCTGCAGTGATAGTGTTCTCACCCTCTTAATGTTGACCTATCATCAAACATCCCCTCTGATGAATTGGTAATACACTCATCAACATTACCAAATATAGAGTTTCCATTTTTTTGAGTAGCAGACCGGTGCACCTTTGCAGCAGATTTGTTATTCAAAGTCATCACTTTTATGCTCTCTGTATTTCCCTCCAGGGGCTACATATTCCTGGAGGCCAGGGGCGGACTGGCCATTTGAGCACTCGGGCACTGCCCGAGGGCCCGGGGTCAACAGGGGGCCCCATGAGATGCCCCTGGTACCTTTCATTGACTGTTTCATAGGCTTTTTTGGGTGTGGGCAAGGACACAGGGGCCCCATGATCCCCTATTGCCCGGGGGCCCCATGAGTTGTCAGTCCGCCCCTGCTGGAGGCATTGCTACAATGTGCCAATTGAAGGACTGTGTGAAGGTCCACTAAATAGGTCACTTCTTTGCAAGACTAAGCAGAGTGCAAAGTGCATACAAATCCTAGAGTGAGCAGGCAACCAAGGTACCCATGTTCTAAGTCCTGCTAACACTAAAAGTATATACATTTCTGCGCCTTAACAATGAGAGTTATTGCCATCATTTTAATAGTGTGGAATTGCTTTAAAATTAATGAAGCTGCTCCAGGACTGGAACTGGACCTTGGGAACTTCAGATTCGATGGGCTCCTCATACACAGAAATTCAAATATACTGTAAATCACCAAATTTACACATCAAAGTCCACCTATTGCACATAATTGGAACTGACAAGTTAAATATATATGTAAAGTAAATACATGTAAACATGAAAATACATGCCAGCAAAACTCCAGTAAAATTTAGGTAAAACAGATTATAAAGAATATAGCTTTGCTGTGCTATGTACTCTTTCATTTCCATAGATAACATTACTGATTCAACAACACTAAGTTAATAAAATTTTGAAAATCCTTACCATTTTAGTGAAAAGTCTAATTGAATTTTCATAACCTCATCTCTGCAATTCAAAAGATAACAACATCTGCTCTGCCAAGGAGGAGGCGTAACAGAAGGGATTACATCATATCCTCTCCTCTCTCTCTGCTGTAAAAGGAAACTACAGTTCCCATCAACCACAGGGAATTGTAGTGTA